AAATTACATTATATTTAATCAGTCATTAAATATAAGCTGAAAAATTTGATGCTGAGACAATTGACATACTATTAAACATTACACATTATTTTCAAATGTGACAGAGTAACTATAGGGTGGGAAATCACTCAGAGCGTTTATTGTTGTATTAATATTGTAATTCTTTTCTGTCTAAAAAGCCAAGGTTCAAGGATTTACAGTATTTATTGAGGAAAAGAAACTTTGTTTCCACATGATCCAAAATATTTTGGATTAGTATGGATTTTTTATAGCGATAAATTTTAAGACGTATATCTGTCAAAATGTTTATGTCTTTGCTACAAAGCTATGAGAAAATTTAGATAACTAACAACATATGTTTGATAAATAAGGTATATTTGATAATCACAATTTATAAATTCCTAAGATCTATTAGTATTTTCAGTAATATTTGTCCATTTTATTTGTGTTTTCTCAGTTTGTTTTAACTACTTGGACAAAATAAGTCATACAAAAACGCTGCAATATTCTATAATGATGCACTATAATAGTTTCATTAAAATTGCCAGTCTCTCTATTGACTATATCTATGATTAAAATGTTTTATTTTACTACCAAAAAATCATAGATGACTCTGTTACAACTCATGGGAAATAATACAGAATCCTAGACCTTTGGATAATTATCTAATACCTTAATCTCATTTATTAATTTCAACCCATCTCTGCTCCACATAATTAGACATAATTTTCTTGTTATAGCTGATATCAATATTTTAATTAAGTATGATTATTTTGTATGTGCCAAAGAATATTTTATTATATTAATCTATGTTTGAATATATAATGTGCTTTCAATGTTATATTTCACATTTTTTAATGTTTTACAGATATGTCGACTACAAATTATTCATTGTTACAACTCTCTTTTCTGTGTCAGCACTGAGGTGTTTAGTTTAAAATTGTGTAGATAAACTTATACATGATTACCTTAAAAAAACAGAAACTTTGTTTCCTTTAGGTCATAGATGAAGGAGATAAAATATTCCCAAGGCATAATTCTTTGTGCCACAGCAGATTTTCCAGCTCCTTCTTCCTGTATGTTTTCCTTCACATAACACATGACACATTTTGTTTCTTGAGAAATTGTGTGGAGGGCAGAGAGGTGGGCTATGACCTTACATTTATGCAGGTGAGATTTTTTGGCCAGTGGCCACCAGGAAAGGGGAAACTTAGAAATGTTCTGCCCATCACAAAGGCACAGTTCTATGCTTGCATGGATTCATTTAGAACGTGTTCCCTAGGCCCAGATACATGTTTGCTGGTCAAATATGGTTCCTTTGTGACTATTGGTATTTCCAATTCACTGACATGACTAAGTATACATAGAAAGCCATGACAAATAAAACTAAGGTTATGAATTGCAACTATATATATATTATATTATATATTATATATTAAATATATAGCTACATTTAGGGATAATTTCATAAAACTTATATACAATGTTTTATTTTTAGAAGAAATACATAATTTTTTCACATTATAATGAAAATCCATTTTAGGTGCATCTGCAAATTTGCATTATATGCTTAAATATATATGCTAACAGAGGCAGACTGTGATTATACTTTTTTATATGACCAAAGTTTTTTCTCTTCTCTTTTCCTTTTTGTTTCTTTAAATTTTATTTAACAGTTTTTCATTTATTTTACATACTAACCACAGTTTCCCCCATCCCCTCCCCCAGACTCCCATCACTCCCCTCTCAATCCACTCCTCTGTCTCCATTCAGAAAGGGGCAGGGCTCCCATGAGCCTGCACAAAGCATGGCATATCAAGCTGAGATAGGGCCAAACTCCTGCCCCTGATCAAGGTTAGGCAAGGTCATCCAGCATGGGAAATGGATTGCTAAAAGTCAGCTAAGTGTCAGTTGTGTAGCTGGGTCTGCTTGAAAGGTTTCTAGCAGTGAGACCAAAATCTGTCCCTGACACTTAGCTGACTGTACGCCAGAAGAGGATACCAAATCTCATTACTGATGGCTGTGAGCCACCATTTGGTTGCTGGGAATTGAATCCAGCACCTCTGTAAAAGCAGCCAGTGCTCTTAACCTCTGAGCCATCACTCAGCCCTATTGTTGGAGGTCTTAGCTGGGGTCATTCTTGTGGATTCCTGGGAGTTTCCCTGGAACCAGGTTTCTCCCTAATCTCTAAAGGGCCCCTCTATCAAGATGTCTCCTTTGTTACTCTCCCCTGCCCTCTGCAAATACTAGCATTGTGTACTAATTGATTATGATTCTTCCAAGGCCATTTAAGTTTTTCCTCTTCCTCTCCTCATTCTGATAGATATTTTTTGCTCCTAAAATAGGCTGCATTTATTAAAGAAAATATCATTTTGCAATGTTGGGAATAAATATGGTGTGTTATAACTCTGCAAATAACTTTGATAGACCCACTGTACTTCTCAAGATATTACATGGAGGCCTACTGTCATAAAGCAGTACTTTTCTCTCCACCATTTAAACATTGTCACACAGATAAAAGGAATCTGTCCTAGCTAACAAGAAACTGACACCAAAGAAGCAACTGTGGGAAGAGTTTCTCTCAAATCCATGGCAGTAAGTAAGCTGGGAGACATGATTTCTGGAATATTAATTCATAACTATTAATTTTCTCTCAGAAACAATGTCTGCTTAGTAACTAGATGTGACTTGAATCCCATTACACCACACTAAAGATATCAGAGGTTTGGTTGTAGAACACTAAGATGAAGAGAATATTTCTATAAAATGCATAATTTTTTGATATTCCAATTCATCTAAAATTGCATTTATGTCAGAATGTAGCCCATGAAGTGTGAAATAACACTATGCTGTCAAATAACTATTCTCCTGGATGAGACTCAGCATTAATTTGTCCCTTTAAAGTGAACATATTTTCATAATACTCAGCTTTCCCAGTGCTTAATAACTCTTCATGGTAGAAATCACTGTTCATCTACTCAGATTAATGGGCATTTTCGATGAGTCACAAACCCATATCCCTATGTGTTTGTGTTCTCAGTATCATGATTCAAATTATGTTACATATAGTTATTCTTAACTTCATGAAGGAAATCTATTGTGCATTGGGGTATATAATTTGAAACCAAGGACCATCGTTTTAATGATATCAACATGTCCTGTCCATTGACAGAAGTAATATTTAAATTTTCATGTACTCATACATCACACTGTTTACTTATAAATCTAGACACAAATTTAGTAACTTACAAACGCTTTCTTACTTAATTGAGAAATATTTCCATAAATAGGAAGAAAGTATTGGGGGTCATTAAGTTGGCTCAGTGAGTAAGGGCATTTACCACCAAGCATGGTGACCTGAGTTTGATCCTCAGAACCCACATATTATATGGTGATAACAAACTTAGACTGTGCCGGGCGTTGGTGGCGCATGCCTTTAATCCTAGCACTCTGGAGGCAGAGGCAGGCGGATCTCTGTGAGTTCGAGGCCAGCCTGGTCTACAGAGCAAGTTCCAGGACAGCCTCCAAAGCCACAGAGAAACCCTGTCTCGAAAAAACCAAAAAACCAAAAAACCAAAAAAAAAAAACCAAACTTAGACCGTGATCCTCTAGTCTCTACCTGAATTCCATGACAAACATACATCCACACACTTACATGAACACACATTAATAATAGGTGAAAAAGCTAGTTTTTTTTAAAAAAAATGAAATACTGCTTGATATATGACAGTTTAGAGTGGAAGTGTACTTTTGTGTTTTGTATTTTGATTCATTATAAATAATAGAATTTTCTCCTTTAGAATTATCTTGTCTGCAGAATAACTCAATACATAGAAATAAAGTGAGTTCTCAAATATATTTGCTGTTCCATAGAAATCAGATAGATTAGATCAAAGCAGGAAACAAATTAAGTACATTCTCATAGAATTAGAGATTTAAAAGTCTCAAGATAGCACTCGGGAGGCAGAGGCAAGTGGATCTCTGTGAGTTCGAGGCCAGGCTGGACCGACAGCCTCCAAAACAATAAAGAAAAACCCTGTCTCGTAAAAACCAAAAAAAAAAAGTCTCATGATATATCATCTTTAGTTCTGAGTTGGTTCTGAAAGCCTAGATCCACATAACATAGCAAAAAAAAAAAAAAAACAAAACAACAACCAATAAGTAACACAGTACCTAAAAAGCAAATTAGATAGCACGAATTCCATGCTAATATGAAAATATTTCCAGGATAATTAAACTGTAGATTGCTGTCAACGATCACCTCTGCTGTAGACAATAATAGCATTAAGATACCTCATAGTGGCCGGGCGTTGGTGGTGCACACCTTTAGTACCAGCACTCGGGAGACAGAGGCAGGTGGATCTCTGTGAGTTCGAGGCCAGCCTGGTCTACAAGATCTAGTTCCAGGACAGCCTCCAAAGCCACAGAGAAACCCTGTCTCGAAAAACCAAAAAAAAAAAAAAAAAGATACCTCATAGTGATATATTTAAAAGCTCTAAGTTATACTAGTAGGACATAGAAAGCTTGTAGGCAAATGATAAGAGGCAGATATTTATAAAACTGAAAAATAGAGTGACTTCATTTGAGTTTGAAATTAAAAAAACAGAAGACATCTTAATGATTTTAGACATTGGAATATAGGAAAAACAGAACTACCTTGGCCCTTAATATGCTTTCATTCATTTACCTAGATATTTGTGAGTGACTAATAAGCTTGTATTTTAGGTCAGGCACTGTTCTAGGCATCTGGGAAACAGTAACAATGAAAACAAACAAACTTTCCAGCTTTATATATGTTTACATACTTTTTCGTTTCTTATATAATTCTGCCATGCATAGCACAGGTCTACAGACACATGAGTAAATGTTAACAAGTCAAATAATTATCTGGTACCTTGATGTGACATAACAGAAGGTGAAAATGACGTCGCTGTTGTCACAGTAGCAGAAGGGGGGGTTCTCAGTTCCTAAGGAAGTGTAGTGAGTGTTCAGTAACAGAAGCAAGTGCAAACACCCAGTGTCAGTAGAGCCCTGAGGAACAGCAAGGGCTCTTAAGCATCAGCACACCCCCCCAGCTTCTCTGACCTTTGGACTCCTAGGTGTTACGAGAAGAATCAAAGAGACGGTGAGAAACAAAATCACTCAAGCACGGTAAATGCTTCTCAGGGTTTTGATCTTTTACCCCAATGAATGCCAAAACAGGGAGGTAATGATTACACTTGTGTTTGTTTCTTCTGTTGATTGTTTTAGAAGTCAAGACAGGGCCTCATTGTGTAGCCTTGGCTTGCACGAAGCCTGTACTGAAGACCAGGCTGTCTTCATCTTCTATCCTCTTTATCTTCTCATCTCCTGGTCTCTCAGTCAAGACCCTGGCACGGAAGAAGGACCTGCAGGGACAGATTTAAAAAAAAATGATGTAGCCCGTGAGACAGACGAAAATCAAAGCAAGTACTAAGGAAGTGGACATGGTAACTTCCTAATGTCCTGCTCTTCCCTGGCTATCTGAAAGGCTCATTAGAGTTCTAGGAAGCAACTGTTCTATTCTTAACAAAGGTCTCGTGACAACAAAAAGTGAAATACAGCACAGACACGAATTCCCTGAACTTCAAACAGATCTGCCTGGGAAATGCTCCTTCTGTGGTCAGTGCTTTCAGAGACCTGCTTGTTTCACAGTCAGGATCTGCCCTTTAAAGATCCTGTGTCACTTTCCTGCCCAATGCACTGGGGAGAGTTTCTCTCAACACAATTTTCCCTTGGTGGAAGATTGCAAACTAAATTAAAATCAGAGTAGAAATATACTGGAAAACATAATTAATACAAAAGCAGCCCCTAGAAAATTTATGGAGGAGCATTTATATGTCATTTAGCAAATCAAAATATGAAAATTATAAATGAGGGACCAAAGCATGGCAAAATAATCAACATTAGCTAACAGTGGAAGGCAGAAATGTTTTTTTTTCTTTAAAAAAGAACCAAGTGAATTTCTAAAGTTTGAAAGCACTAAAACTGACTAAGGGAATTCACTTAAAGGTTGAACAGTATGTGTATTTAGGCTAACAGAGGAATATGTCAATGAAGATGAGAGATGTTATCATATTATTAAACCTGAAGAACACACAGAGAAAGAACAAATAGAAACCAAGACAAGCAGCAAGTAAGTGAAGACAGAAGAGTGAGCAGTTACACACATCCCTACCACACAGTGAGTTTCTGGTCAGCGTGCACTACAAGAGACTTTACAAAAACAAACCTTTAAACTTCGCCCCCATGTACATGTGTGCATGCCTGCCTGCCTGCCTGCCTGCGTGTGTGTGTGTGTGTGTGTGTGTGTGTGTGTGTGTGTGTGTGTGTTGTTGTTGTTGTTGTTTTTGTTTTTCTTGTTTTGGTTTTTAGTTTTTTGAGTCAGGGTTTCTCTGTGTAACCCTGCCTGTCCTGCCCTGCTGTATAGACCAGGCTGGCCTCAAACTCAGAGATACACTTGCCTCTGCCTCCCAGGTGCTGGGACTAAAGGTGTGCAGCACCATGTCCAACGCCTTTGTCTTTCTCTTAAAGAACAGTTTGCTTTATTTAACTCATTTGCTGCAACACACATCAGGAATTCTTTTGTTGTTGGTTTTTTTTGTAGGTCATCATTTCTTTATTCATGTTACTATTCTACATTATATCAATTGCAAAATATTCAAAACAGCCAGGATTTAGAAATGCAAGCAACACTGATGTAATAGTAACTGGAGGTTATCTGTGATATGTTGGACATATTACAAAGGCAACAGGGGCCAAAATGTAAACAAAAAATAAACATACCAAATAAGAGATAGGATTTCTTTTCTTCCCCTTTTTTAAAAATTAAATTAGAAACAAGCTTGTTTTAAATGTCAATCCCAGTTCTCTCTCCTTCCCCTCCACCCCTGCCACCCACTAACCTCCTATCACATCTCCTTTCTGTTCCCCAGGGAGGGGGAGGGCTTCCATGGGGGAATCTTCAACATGTGTCGTATCATTTGGAGCAGGGCCTAGGACCTCCCCCATGTGTCTAGGCAGAGAGATTATCCCTCTGTGTGGAATGGGCTTCCAAAGTCCATTTGTGTGATAGGAATAAATACTGATCCACTACCGGAGGTCCCATAGATTAACCAGAACTCCAAATTGACATTCATGTTCAGTAGGTTTGGAACAGTCCTATGTGGTTTCCAGATATCAGTCTGGGGTTCATTTGTTCCTCCTTGTTCAGGTCAGCTGTTTCTGTGGGATTCTCCAACCTGGTCTTGACCCCTTAGCTCATCACTCCTCCTCCTCTGCAACTGGATTCCAGGGTTTAGCTCAGTGTTTAGCTGTGGGTCTCTGCTTCTGCTTCCATCAACTGCTGGTTGAAGGCTCTAGGATGGCATATAAGGGAGTCATCAATCTCATTATCGGATAAGGGAATGTAAGGTAGCCTCTCCACTATTGCTTAGATTATTTAGTTGGGATCAACCTTGTAGTTCTCTGCACATTTCCTTAGTGCCAGATTTCTCTTTAAATCTATAATGAATCCCTGTCTTATGGTATCTTTTTTCTTGTTCTCCTCTATTCTTCCCCTGATACAATCTTACTGCTCTCTCATTTCCTCCTTTCCCCTTCTCTTCTCCTAACTTCTTCTACCCTCCGCCTATGCTCTCATTTAGCTCATGAGATCTTGTCCCTTTCCTTGTCTGGGAGACCACGTATGTCTCTCTTAGGGTCCTCCCTGTTTCCCGGTTTCTCTGGTGGTGTGAATTGTAGGGTAGTAATCATTTGCTCATATATGTCTAAAATCCATATATGAGTGAGTACATACCATGTTTGCCTTTTTGTGACTGGGTTACCTCACTCAGGATAGTTTCTTCTAGTTCCATCCATTTGCTTGCAAATTTCAAGACTTCATTATTTTTCCCACTGAGTAGTACACCATTGTGTAAATGTACCACATTTTCTGCATCCATTCTTCAGCTGAGGGGCATCTAGGTTGCTTCCAGATTATGGCTATTACAAATAATTCTGCTACTAATGTGGTTGAATAGACATCCTTGTTATGAATGTGCATCCTTGTGTATATACCTAAGAGTGGAATTGCTGGATCTTGTGGTAGATTGATTCCCATTTTCCTGAGGAACCACCATACTGATTTCCAAAGTGGCTATACAAGTTTGCAATCCCACCAGCAGTGGAGAAGTGTTACCCTTTTTCTACAACCTCTCCAGCATAAACTGCTTTTGGTATTTTTGATTTTAGCCTTTCTGACAGGAGTAAGGGAGTAAGATGGTATCTCAGAATTGTTTTGATTTGCATTTCCCTGATGGCTAAGGATGCTGTGAAATTTCTTAAGTGTCTTTCAGCCATATTAGATTACTCTATTGAGAATTCTCTAGTTCTGCACCCCACTTTTTAATTGGATTATTTGTATATTTGTGAAATCAGCCCTCTGTCATATGTGGGATTGGTGAAGACCTTTTCCTGTTCTGTGGGCTGACATTGTGTCTTGTTGACTGTGTCCTTTGCCTTACAGAAGCTTTTCAGTTTCAGGAGATCCCATTTATTGTCAAACTCAGTGTCTGTGCTACCTACTTCTCTTCTAAGAGGTTCACTGTACCTGGGTTTTTGTTGAGGTCTTTGATCCATTTGGACTTAAGTATGCTGATAGACATGGATCTATTTGCAGCCTTCTACATGTCAGCATCCAGTTATGCCAACACTATTTGTTGAAGATACTTTCTTTTTTACATTGCATAATTTTAGCTTCTTTGTCAAAAAATCAGGTGTTGGTAGATGTGTGGGTCCATATCAGGGTTTTCAATTCCATTCCATTGTTCTTCCTGTCTATTTTTGTGCCAATACCAAACTGCTTTCAGGACTATAGCTCTATAATAGAGCTTGAAGTCAGGAAAGGTGATGCATCTGGAAGTTCTTTTATTGTACAGAGTTGTTTTGGCTATCCTGGGTCCTTTGTTTTTCCATATAAAGTTAAGAATTGTTCTTATCAGGTCTGTGAAGAATTGTGCTGGGGTTTTGATGGAGACTGCATTGAATCTGTAGATTGCTTTTTGCAAGATTGCCATTTTTACTATGTTGATCCTACCTATCCAAGACCATGGGAGATCTTTCCATTTTCTGGTATCAGCATTAATTTCTTTCTTTAGAGACTCAAAGTTCTTGCTATATAAGTCTGTCATTTGTTTGGTTAGCATTAACCCAAGTTATTTTATATTGGTACTGTAAAGGGTGATGTTTCTCTGATTTCTTTTTCAGTCCATTTATCTTCTGTATATAATAGGGCTACTGACTGTTATTGAATTAATCTTGTATCCTGCCATTTTGCTGAAGGTGTTTATCAGATGTAGGAGTTCCCTGGTAGAGATTTTCAGGTCACTTATGTAAACTATCATATTAAATTCAAATAGTGACAAGTTGACTTCTACTTTCTAATTTGTATTCTCTTGATTTCCTTTTGTTGTCTTATTACTCTAGCTAGAACTTCAAGTACAATCTTGAAGAAGTATTGAAAGAATGGACAGCCTTGTCTTATTCCTGATTTTAGAGGAGTCACATTGAGTTTCTCTTTGTTTAGTTTGATGTTGGCTGTTGATTTGCTGTATATTGCTATTATTATGTTTAGGTATGTTCCTATTATGCCTCATCTCTCCAAGACCTTTATCATGAAGGGGTGTTGGATTTTGTCAAAGCTTTTTCAGCATTCAGTGAGATGATCATGTGATTTTCCTTTTTCAGTTTGTTCGTATGGTGGATTACATTGATGGATTTTTGTATGTTGAACCATCCCTGCATTGCTGGGATGAAGCCTACTTGATCATGGGGGATGATTTTTTTATGTATTCTTGGATTTGATTTGCCAGTATTCTATTGAGTGTTTTTGCATCAATGTTCATGAGCGATATTGGTCTGAAGTTCTCTTTCTTAGTTGTGTCATTGTGTGGCTTGGGTACCAATGTTATTGAAGTCCCATAAAAAGAATTTGGCAATGACCCTTCTGCTTTATTGTGTGGAATACTTTGACGAGAATTGGTATTATTTGTTCGTTAAGTTTCTGGTAGAATTCTACACTGAAGCCATCTGTCTCTGGGGTTTTTTTTTGGGTGGGAGACTTTTGATGACTGTTCTATTTCATTAGGGGCTTTAAGTCTACTTAAATTGCTTATCTGTTCTTGATTTAATTTTGGTAAGTGATATCTATCCAAGAAATTGTCCATTTCCTTTAGATTTTGAATTTTATGGATTCAAAGTACAGGATTTCAAAGTATGACCTGATGATTCTGTGGTTATTACAATTTTTTTTACCCATTGAGGATTGCTATGTTGCCAAGTATGTGGTCAATTTTAGAGAGGGTTCCATGTGGCACAGAAAAGAAGGTATATTCTTTTGTATTTGGATGGAATGTTCTACAGATTTCTGTTAAACCCAATTGGGTCATAACTTCGATTTGTTCCTATATTC